TATATATATATATATGCATAATATTGATTAGGAAATATCCAATTTATTATTTATTTTTATTTACTAATATAATTTTATAAATATTAATAATTTATACCAAAATAAAGTTATCCAGCTAAGAATTTGTATGTTTTTCCGCCCATTTTTCACTCCCAAAAAAAATTACAAATAGGATGAAAGATAAATGTTTCACGGATAATATAATATTAAAAATAAAATGTTTTAAATTTTAAATTTTAATTCAATCACCAGTGTTATGACTAACTATTAATTTTAAGTTACTTATTTAACTAGTTAACGATCCCTCAAAAAATTTAGTCAAAATACACAAATGTGGGAGAAATATTCTAAATGAGTAACACCTGAAGCTAGATAAATGTAATTAGTCGATAAAGCTCACTACATAATAATGATTATATTATATTCACACATTCTCATTTCTTCAGATATCTATGTCACGTTCTCTCTTTAGTTTCTCCTCCTTCTTTGTTTTGATAATAATGATTGAAGAATAATGGGAAAAATGAGAACATGAAAAAGAATGCTGTAAAGATGAAATGCAAAGAAAGGTTAATGGCTATGGGCTATGGCCCCCCATCTGATGTATATGGCAGGGCAGCATATGCCCTTGGCCACATATATCACAATGCAAACAAAAATCATATCTCTTTTCTCTGAACACAATTGACTACACTCAACTCAATACAAATTTTAAGGTGCATTTTCCCAACATTTCTTTCCATTCATGCACAATTCCTCAATTTACGTTAATGGTTCTGATGTTCTTTACGGTATTTCAATTTTTTTTATAATAATCATATTAACTGTATAAAGTATTTACTGATGATTAATTTTCTCTTTAAGGGGCTGTGTTTCAATACGCCATGCCTTATAATACTATATTACTTCATTTTTTTAATTTATAATAATGAGAAATTATTTGTAATTTTTTTATAAATTGTTTTTTAATTTAAGCCATGGATCTAAACGTCAATTTTATTTTATTTTAATTGAAATTTTGAATTAAAATGCTAATTTTATTTATTTATTTTTAAATTGAAGTGAAACTATTTTGATATCTTATAAATCTCATATTACTTATAAATTAAGGTAAAAGGTAATTTATAAACACTTTCACTTTTTAACTTATCGAGATATATTTTTAAAGACAAAAAGGTAATAGTCTAATGTATGTCAAAATAGACAATGCGTCGGATATAATGATTTTAATGATGTCAATGAACTTACAGTCAGAATATTGATGCTAGAAGGAGGGCATAAGTCACTCTTACCCCCCTCAGGTCTCGAATAAGAGACTTTGTTCCGGTATTGCTTAAAAGTCTCACATCACTTAAAAATTGAGATTGGGATAGTTTATAAACACCTTTTTCCTTAAGCCCCCAAGGCACTTTTTGACAAAATCAAGATGGTTTGACAAGTGACAAAATAGATAATATCTTAGACGTGATAATTCTAACTATGTCTACAAGTTTATGATCGGAACATTGATGCTAGAAGGAGGGCCTAGGCTACTCTTATCCCTTATTCTTGTTTGGTAGCTTGTTTCAATATGTCTAAAAGTCACACATCCTTAAAAACCAAGGCTAAAGATAGTTTATGAATATTCTCTCTCCTTAACCTATTAAGACATTTTTTTATAAATAAAATCGTGACAATAACCCGACAAGTGCTAAATAGAAAATATCTTAAATATAGTGACCCTAATAACATCAGTAAATTTAAGATTAAAATAATAACTATTTTAATAAGTTATAAATTTTCACATTATTTAAAAGTGAGACCATATCAATGATAATTTCTAAAAATAAGTAAAAATTATAATAAATTATATAAATATGTTATTTCATTATGGTTTATTAAAACATATAATATCGTTAGTATGTTATGGAAGGACATATTTAACTTTCTATTTTGAAATGACAAAGAATGACAAAAGTTTATTAAATGACACTACATAGTACAAGTAATATGCAGTTTCAGTGTTACAAAGTAGAAGAGATTGAAAAAAAAATCTAAAATATGCAACCATAATCAAGCAAATAGCTAGGAGCTATATGAAAGTAAATTAGTATTTAATTTAGAAGTTGTGAATGTTTAAATAAATTTCTAGTTGTTTTATTAGCTACTATGAGTGGAAGTATAATATTAGTATAAGTATGAAATTTAGTGTTATATAAACAAACATGAACAGAGTGGAGTGTAAATTATTCAAACGCATCTTTCATTAAACTTTAAATGTGATCATAAAGTACTGTGAATATACATTGATGTTCTACATGATATTAATAAAGTACGTTTTATACTAATCTAATTCTAGGCGCCCTTCACCTCAAAAAAAAAGTTCTAGGCGCCCTATATTATAAAGTTGTATTCAATTCCCATCTTTTTGAATGAGAACTTTTGGGAGCTATATTATTAAATTTGAGCATTTTAAGAGTGAATCACAAGAATCGGTCCCGTGAAATTGAGATAATATGATTGCAACTTTAAATTTTGTCGTCGTATTTTTTTATTGTTGAAAAAAATAGTACTTTAAAAGTATTCTCGTATAAGAGTATTTATAAG